AGGAAAGGTGGGATGTTTCATTTTTTTCATTCGGGTAAACCCGAATGGTGCCTGCGATATCTAATAAGTACTAAATTTTCAAAAATTCGAAGTAAAAATTTTAATAAAATTTAATATTCATTTCTGTTCCTAATATTTTCTTTATTACGTAGTACAGAACCTAATTGTGACATAATCTCCTTTATGTATGCATTACATCACGGTTAGGTTCGGCGCGTAATAAATGTTAGATGCATTTTCTTTTTTTTAATGTGATCAGTTTCATATTATTATATTACTTCAATATTACAAGGAACGCAGCAAAATCTGCCTTTATATCTATCGTGTGCGTAATGAGAACACGGAAAAGAAGGAAATGCTAATCCGACGAGATTTAAATCTTATCCGTTTATCAAAAACCTCTGGAGCTGTCATTCCTTCGACGAGAATATTTATCGTTGTCTTTTTTTTTCTAAAGAATATATAAATTAATAATAAGTTTTTTCTGTTTGATTAATTTTCGTTTTTTGAAAGACGTTAACTCGTTGAATGCCGTGCCGAGGAACCGCGTTATCAGATTCAATATGACGTAAAAAAGCAGATAGAACTCATGAATATTATTCATAATTCTGTAACTATAATAAACATTAATTTTAGTGCTCTAAAATAATAGGCGCGTATAAACATGCGTATATAAACATATAAATATTTTTGTTTTTAATTATGTAAATTTAGATAGAGAGCGAAAAATTAGAGATGCGGCCTTCAATTTTAATTAACGTTTTTGCGGTTTTTTTTGTAATTTTACCAAACCCGTCGAAGCCGTTCGATATTTCGAAGATCACCTGGCTCGAACGCAACGGGTCAATTTGATTCAGACAATGGAGATCGATTTTTATTAACAACAGAAGAATTGATGATACGAAAAGTCAGAAATTACAGCTACGGAAATTACAGCCACGTATAATCGGTATAATCGCCGATGTGTTTATAGATGAGCACATTGCAGATCCGATCGCGACAGTGTGAATCATTATCAGCGACAGTGTGAATCATTATCGACGAACGCTTTCGACATGACGAAATATGCACGAAAAATATGCGACTAAACTTTACCCGTGGCGACGACGCGCTTCTTCGAGCGGAAGTGCATGTCATTGTATTGTGAAGTTCGTCCGACGAAGGAACCGACAATAGCTTTGCATACGGGTTACACATAACAATGTTTGAACAGAAGCCACCAAAATACTTGCCTTTTCGCAATTATATGTATCTCCTACGTCTCGTTGTCATTTAATATAATCAATCCTTTCGCTCATTAAATAACGTAAATTATTCGGCATCGGTAAAAAAAGCACACTCAACAGTCTGACACGTTTCTTACTTCCCCTTTTTTTCCACTTTTTTTTTTGCTTGAGGAAAAATGACAAACAAAATAAATTAACAGCGTCATCATCAAATTATAATCATCATCCAGACTGAGGAATTGTCATTATTTTAGAATGGACAGACTTCATTTCGTAATGCACTTCTAAACAGGCGCAATGCTGTTTACAGGATAAAATCATGATTAGAATGGGATGGATCTAAGAAGAATAGGGCCTTCACAGCATCTCCCCCCCTCCTCTTCTTCCCCGTAAGGCTTTCTTGCTTGTAACGTCACAAAACCGAGACGTAACTCTTCGACACCAAACAATATGACTAGTTCTCCCTTCCTCTTCGCATACCAAAATCCCTTTTTAACCTAGAATTTTAGATTTTCCGCTTTTTCTATTCCTAAGTCTGTATGGAAAACTTAGCCGTCCCAAAATTTCGAGCCAACGAGCAGGTAATCTTTATCCCCGACAGTTGATTGGTCGATCTCACTTTTTCGAAATTCCATTTGTTGAAGTTCTCCAACAAAGGACAGCATTTTAAGACAAAATGGAACCATGATCTTCCAATCATTTAAACAGCATTTAAACCATTATTTGCAAATGCGATTTCTTATATTTATAGCCCAGCTAAGATAAAAATATATAGCACGAGTATTAAGACAGATTTTATTAACTCACATTTCCATTAACATAAATTTACTTTGATTTCTTCGATTTATCTTCTTCTAATTCTAATTATATAAACATAAAAAGTGAATTTAATTAATCGAAATCAAAATGAATTTATATTAGTAGAAATGGAAGTAAACCCCGATTAATCAGAAATTAAATCGTAATAACATTTTATTCTTTACATATCTTAAATTACATTTGAATCAAATTATACTAATAAAATCTTTAGAATAATTAAAAAATTTTTTATTACTATGATTAACAAAGCAATTGTGAAAATAACGCTAATTTATAATATTTGAACTTTGTCTTACCTTAGTACTTAGCCAAATTCAATAGTTAAAAAAGAGATTTAAAAAAAATTATATCTCGTGACATGTGAAAATTATGAAGTTTAAATTTCAATTTTGGCTTGAAAAAATACTTAAAATATTTATAATATCTAATTCTTTATATGAAAAGTTTGCTGATTTCTGATTTAGATGATGTTTGTCTTAACATTAAGAGATTATAAGATGTAAAGATGTATCGGGGGGAGGGGGGGGGGCAGGAAAAAGATATTTCAAAATAAAAATACACAGAGTTAATTGCTAATATAATATATATTTATGCTAAAAAATAAACAATATGACAATGTCTTTAACCCTAAAAGGGGGAGTGCCGTTGGATATTCATGCGGTTAATATATTGCGGGATATTTTCGTTGTTTTGCTAAAGTCTTAAGATTAGTTTATCTTAAGGCTTGCGCATATCACTGGAAAAAATTAATTGGCTGACATGTGAGATTTAGACATGTGACATTAGACTTTTTCTCGCGATATCACGTTGAGTGTCCAACGGGCGCCCCTCACCAAGTTGACAATCTTGCGTGACTTCCAGGGTTAAACGTTAGTTTACTGGGCTACATCAGAACTGGTAAAATCGTAACGCGCGCGCTATATTACGAGGTGTATAAGATGATTCTGTACGAGAGATATGTACTGAGATCATAATAAATTTGACGCGCCCTCGCCTTCATACTTCTTTGCTTTTCGCCATTCAACCATGTTTTCAATTGTCCGTCAAACTTCAACATCGCTAGCAATGAATAAAATTAAATCCCGCGTTTTTCCGCGGCGTTTAATCTTAAAGATCCGCGAAATTCGTTTCATGTTCCATGTTCTGTTATGAAATTCAAATAATGAAAGCGTAATTTTATTCATCGCTAATTCTTCTTATATGTAAAATTACGATACGCGAGGATAGAAAAATATATATATATATATATATATATTTTATAAATATATATTGTACAAGGTAATACTACGTCATTATAAAATCCGCCACGTTACTCAAGCGCGATATTTACATTTACATATTATTTTCGTAATCGCAATAGACAATTCTGTTGTTGATTATCATGATTATGATGATTAACTTAGACGGGATGATTACGGACGATGGTGCATGGTGATTATCGGAGAAAAGCGCCGGCAGTCTCTCTTATGAGAGTATTTTATTTGTCAATGTGTCGCGCCAATCGTTACGACGATTCACCGTGTTCTCGTCGGAAATTGATAAAAAAAAAAACCCAAAAGCCACGCGCGTGTACCACGCACGTGACCGATATGCGTAATAACATATACGTGGCTCGCGAACTTTGTCTGCCGGAACGTTTCGCACTTGGTAGCACGTATAAAGAGAAAACCTTGTAGTCCGATAACGTCCGGAATATTAACTCGGCGCATAAACTTCATCTGTCCTTCTGCATGCTATTTTTAAAAGAGCGCAATTCGGTCGAGATCCATCGACCGCGCGGATATGCAAGAGCTCGCGTGCCACGAAATGTCATCCTCGTAAAAAACGAAATAGATTGGCTAGAATTTTTTTCAGGAATTTAAAAAAGTCGAATTGGAATTTAGAAAAAAATTTAATTTTTTTTAGAAATATTTGAATTTTAACGCGTATCGATGCGACTAAGACAATTTTATTCGAAGGATAAGCTTGAGCACTATGAAATCCAGTGAGTGAGTATTTTTCATTCGCTACGTAAACGAGCCACGTTAATCACGTATCGAATAATCATCCGATGTCGTGACCTCGGTTCAAGGAACATCCACGGTGTCGTTTCGAGAGAAATTTGAAATGAGAATAATCGGTGGGGGCCAAACAAGAGGCACTTATCTCAGCCAGTACAAATGACGCCGTTCGTCCTCCTCGCGAAAGAAAAAAAAAAAGACGGTCGAATGAAATACGTATAATGGCAGGAAATAGAATATGCATGATGAGATAGGTGAGGTGATACAATGTAATAACTGAATAACGAAATACGTATTCGTGTCATATACGTAGATTTTCACGAGTACACATATTCTTACAAGTATAAAATTGTGATTCAATAACAATATATTACAATATGTATAAAGTATAAAACGCTATGATCATGAAATATACACAACACAAAACACATACGATAAACGTGTATAAAAAAATGCACATCGGAGAAAGGTGATATTCAGACTATCTCAAATTAGCATTATATCAGAAATTTTAATTAAGAATCGAATGTAAAAATCAAATATAATTGTAATTGAATATATGAAGAATTCAATAACCGATCGTTATTTAAAGAGAAAATTGACAAGTTCGCAAGATAAAATTTTGAAGCAAGATAAGTCAGATGAGCAAAAAATGTACATTGAAGAAAGATGATGTTCAGATTATCTCAAATCATCATCATATCAAAAATTTTAATTAAGATTCGAATGTAAGGTATCAAATTAATTGTAATTTAATATATGAAGAACTCAGTCAATAATCGATCGGTTATTTAAATAGAAAACTGCGACGAGCTCACAGGATAAAATTTTAAAGTTAGATAAGTTAAATTTCAGATCGGTATAGCAGGCAAGTAAAAGTTTAATAAGACGTAAGAATAATAGACAATAGACAATAGGAAAGATACAGCAAGAAAAATACAAAGAAATGTAAGAATTTTTGAGAAACAAAATAGAATAGAGATTGACATCTTCCGTAAAAATGATCGACCGTTTTGAATTCATTGAAAAATTCTCGCGATGATTGTCGAGTATTTTCGCGCTGGAAATTGCGTTTGTGTTGTGTATTGTGTGCGTGTGCGTGATTATAAAATCGCATCTCTCACATTAGAAACACGGACGCACGTGAGGAACGTGGTATGCTGTATATATAATATCACAGATTTCACTCTTGGAAATGGAACACTAAAAAGAAGCTTCCTTCGTCTTTAATACGGATGTTTTTAATACTTGTGCTTGTCGTCACGTCGCAATTGTCTCGTTACAGATCCTTGTCGCATACGTTTCTTTCTTAAGCGGTTCTTCATCGAAATGACGATGCTAGTTTCTTCTTGAATCAATATCCATCAAGTGAACCTTCATCAATATCATGTCCATAGCGGCCCGAGCGTCCTCGATCGAGTTGTGTGTTCCCTCTTGAATGTTTCGCTTGAGTATATTTTTTGCCAGGGTCTTGAGGGCCATTCGGTACGGATAACCCCTAGAATGCGGGAACGTGAAGCTGACATCGACGACGTTCGAGTGAATTATCTTCAGCGCTCTGAGATCGTTCCCGAGGCTGTGGCCAACGAGAATAGTCTGGGATGAGATAAATCTGAGCAGATCCTCCCGCACCTGCCAAAGAGTCTTGGTGACGCGCTCCATATGCTGCTCCGTGATGCCGCTGTATCTCGTGTTGTAGTCCAGCACCGGTGAGTTTGTCTGCACCAGCGTATCGTACACGATCTGGCCCCACATATTTGTAATGGACACCCTGACGAGTTCCATACCCTGGATCGTGTAGCACATTTCACAATCCAAGGCATATATACTAAAGTCAAACTCTTGATTATACAGTACAGAAGGTGGATAGGTCGTGACGAAGTCCCGCAGTTCGTTTACGCCAGGATATAACCCGAACCACACGTGACACGTCCATTTGGTACAGCCGGTCGAGTGTTCTGGCTGTTGGCAGCACGTCCAGTGCCAGACGTTCTTAAATTCTCGGAGCTTACCGTTATGGTAGATGCAATCCTCTTCTTTAAGAAATTGACCGTGAAGATCGACAAAGTATATCCTACTGCATCTCACGCAATTCCTCGGTATTCCGTCGTTTTGATGACTCTTCTTCCTGGGAACGCTATCCTGGCTAATTGAAACTTTCTTCTTCCTGCTTCTGTTATTGCTGTTCTCAGAGCTCTTCTCAGTTTTGTACCGGGGAGATTGTGCTTCCTGTTCTTGATCGGAACTGTCGGGCGAACTATCACCTCTTATTGGGTACGATATATTATTTATCACGGCCACATTATACTTGACCGAAGGAACTGGATAGCCACAGAGAAACATCAAGGAAGGTAATAACAGGTATGTTCTTATCGCCATTGCTATCTCAATATCCGTCATATAAGTTATTTCTGTTCTGTAGCTCCGGTATGTCAGGTCATCGTTGGTACACATAGAATAGTTATATAGGTAAGATGGCGAATTCCACGCTTGTGAAGATGCTAAAGACCTGCTTGCTTTTCCTGTTTTCTTATTTCCTGTTATGCGATTCATATTGATTTCTTCCGTAGTGCTCTGCCTTGAGGTCTTTGCTTCCTTCTTCCTATTCTTCCTCTGCTGCTTGGAGGACCGGATATGTCCTGGCTCTCGCGAGTGCTTATCTTTATTTCATAGGAAAAAACAAATATACACGTAAATTTACAGTTCACAGATCTACCTTGAAAGATATTAAAAATATTCACACACGACACGCGCATGCAAATTTCTTATTCTACTTTTCTCTTTCTTTCTTTCTTAATTCTAATATTTCTCTTCCTTTTTGTCTAATTAACGAGAAGCGCGATACGAAGAGGCAAGTAAATCGGATTTCTAAACTTACGAGAAACTAATTCGAGAAATCGAAACTTATAGCTTAAATGAAACGAGACGCGAGACGCGGTTTCGTTTTTTTTTTTCCCAAAATGAGACAGCAGATAAGATAAGAATCCACGTGTCGATGCGTATTTTATAACAATTTGTACGGCGCGTTGTTAATCTTTATGAACCTTTGTACTCGACTTTTAAAAAATTAATATTCTTATAACAGTTAGTACTTCGTTTGTAGTAACAATAATTTCGTTTGTAGTTCCATCCATTAAAAAATATCAAATTTAAAAAAAATGACATGCACTCGACATTAAGATATTTCAAATCCGCTTTTTTAGAGTCGTTTGTAGTTGTTTGTAATGCATTCGTTTGTAATCGAACCGTTCAAAAGATACAATAATTTAAATGGCCAAGTATCAATTTCAATTTCAATATCTAACTTCATCAACTAAATCATATTATGCTTTCTTCAGTCATATCTAACTTTTGAACTCTATAATTACAAACGAAACGGAAAGGAACTATTTTACATAATTGATTTAAAGAATGTTTAGTTTAATGACGATTATATCTCTGACATCAAGAGAGAAAGATTGCAGGGCAAAAATCGAAATTATATGTATATAAAAGCGCATAAATCAAAGATATAGTTTACACATTATAAATAAGGTAATTTTGCAATTTTAAATGACTTAGAAGTAAATAATATTGTTTGCTTCAAGAGAGAAATATCTTAGGATATGCAGCGCAAAAATTGAAATTACTCTAACATCAGACATAATTCATGACTCACCTCTCAAATGGATTATACACAGAGGAAACGATTTCTTTGGATTTAATTGATTCAATAAATTGATTCACTTGGTTTTTCAAATAATAAATTTCCACTACCACTGAACACTAGAACGAAACGATAGACTACCGAGAGAGTAACTCTTCAGACTAGAGTAACTCTCATTTCGAAAATCGACATATATGTAGGGAAATGGGCGTCAACACACGGACAATAGAAAAAGCAATGGTCAGCCTACAGAAATTAGGAAGATAATCCTTCAGAAAGTTGACGAATCAATATCTTATGCTCTTAGTCCCTCCCATCGTCGCTGCAGATTCGCAATACTGCATCAAAGGTTAGAAAAAAGTTAGAAACTTATAAAAAAAAAACTCCAGAGAAGAGGGAACGAGAGAAAGAGAGAAAATAAATGCGTTCATTCTATATAAATCTTGAGATTTTCGAAAACATAAATAATAAATAAATGTTATTATCGCACTGTAATAAATAAAAAATAATTTTTAATTAAAAATTATTCTAAATTTCAAAGTTGAATAAATAATAATTAATTAATAGTTTTTAAATGTCTGAATGGCAATCAATTATCAAAAGCAATTTAATAGAAAAAAAATTCAAATATAATTTTTTTTGGCACTTTGATGTAATGTAAATTAAATATTATTCTTAAAATGTATCAAATACGTACGAAATTATTTTTAACGCTTTTATAGTAATAATATTAATATTTAAAGAGCACTTTTATATAATTTCTAAAAATATATATATAATCCGTCCGTATAATTTCTAGAGGACATACTTTATATGCAATACGGCATGTCATGTTGCATACATGTTCTTTGTAATACGAGGTATTTGATAATATCATATTTCGAACGTTAATTAAAGACAGCGAACAATACATTTGTATTCCGTTTGTTAAAATGTCATAAATAATTATATAATTATAGAAATGAGAAACATGATAATGAGAAACATCTCTATTTTAATAAATATGATGTATCAATAGAAATCACATTGAGATATTTAAATATAATTCGCAATTTTGTCATAAAATATGTATTATAAATAGATTACTTTTGATACATCGTAATCAAAAAAAATCACAAGTCTAACATTTTTGTAGATTAATTTTATCATGCATAAACTCAAAAATGTGTAAATATATGTTACGACTCGACCAGCACTTCATATCTTTCTAAGTACCGCTCGGGTGATATTTATTTGTTTAATTTTAATTTGTTAATCATACACCACCGCCAATACCTTCTTCTTTGGAAAATGTTTTAATATGTTCTAAATTATACAAATATTTATTAAATCAAAACTCCGATTGACTTGATTTTATTGGCCTGCGGTCGATTATTATACTGATAATTAATCTTGATTTATTTTTAAATAATTTTTTTGCTTTTATATTATATAGAATTGTATAGTAAAATTATATAGAACTCTTTAATAGAATTCATTACAGAAATCTTTCTAAAAATCAAATATAATATCAAATATAATATAATCTTTCTAATAATCAAATATAATAAAATATATAAAATGCATAAATTTTTTAAAATCTCACATTGATGAACGTCGGAATTTATCTAAGACGAAAAAAAAAGTGAGATATGAATCTGGCCGATTTTTTTCGCTTTATTGAGCAAAACTATTTGTTTAATGTATCAGAAAACTCATTATTGAGAAGAGAGCCAAATATTTGTAGCTCAATAATTTGTGAGTTTTCGCGAAATGAAATATCAGCTTCGCATATTACAGCGATGTTAAAAGTAATTCTTATATAGAATTGCTTTGTCAGTTTTATCGTCTTACATAATATCGTTTTATAATCACATAAATACAAAAAGCATAATTCATTATCGTATATTATTTCGATATCATGATATTATCTATAGCTTTAACAACACCATCGCAATTTACTTAAATGGAAGCTTACTTTTCCGCGATAAAATTTCAGACGATTAAAAATATCAAATAAAATATATAAGTTAACAAAAATTATTTATGACATAAATAAAAATAGGCAAATTATTTAGCAGCGTACATCAACTATCGTCAAATAATATTATATATGTCAAATAATATTATATATATCAAATAATATTATATATGGGGGTCACATGAAATTATGCATTTGTGAATATCGGAACATTCGTGTAATAAATATTACTACTTGAGAGATCATTGTCTTTCTCCTCTCTCTTTCGCTCGAGAAAACCCGAGCACTCTCCGATAAAGCATGACTTTTAAACTGGGTGCATAATGAAAAACAGAAATAGAGAACAGACAACAGATTTTGATCAATCAGAAATATCTCTTCATTGTGTCTCAGGCTTTAAGCTAGATACACAATGAAAAACACAGGCAAGAGGAACAGGGAATAGGGAACAAAGAATAAGAGATTGTCGTCAATTCACAATGACGGCGATAGCAACCAGAACTGTCCAGTCAGAATTTAGTGATATAAATTTTTTACAATAATATAATATAAAAGTTTGCAGGTAAATGTTAAACAAAGCGAATCGCAGTCACTGGTCAGGAACAGGCAATAAGGAAACAGAAATCCAATGCGTCGAAAATTTTGTTTCCTGTTCTTATCGTCTGTGTTTTCCATCGATGCACGGTTTCCCATAGGTTGAAATTTGTTACCTGTGTTATTTCTATTGCCTGTGTTTTCCATTGTGTATCCAGCTTTACGAACGCGGGAATGGAGATGAGAAAGGTGCGGGGTGAATAACGCCGACGGCCAATCAAGAGACAGTTGCGATCAAGAGACGCTCGAATCGGAGTTTGACTAATGAGAGACACGTAATTGGTGCTGCTACGCTCGATAAATTATTCCCGGACCGTCGGAAGTCTGGTCGCTAATCTAATTTAATTGCTATCAATTGTTTGATTAAAAGGCTGATTTATCACGCGAGTTGGCCATTAAATTATATACTCATTAACTGCGAGTTTTCTTGTTATTTATCTTCATTTGTATATACAAATTAGAGCATGTCTTTGTTCGCGTGTTTATACGAATCTGAAAGATGGACAATAATGTCATCTCCAGTTAGAACCTCGTATATCGATAAAGTAAATGATCAAACAAGGAATAAGTAAGGCCGACAAACGAGCAAACATATCAGGTATCGTTTAAATAATAAAAATAAAAATATCTTGCATTGAGCATAGCAAGGAGCACAGGCTAGAAATACAAATTAAAATTTAAACTTGAACTTGTTTCAGTTACACAGGGCTACCTTCTTCTCAAAAATGACGGCATATATATTCGTTTATACTCGACAAAAATATAAAATAGAATCACGTGACGATTAAGAGCACGTTATCATCAAGGAACAGAAGGAAGGCATCATGGAGCAGAAGGAGGGCATTAATTCTAATATAGGTACAGAATTACTAAATGAGACTTATTTTCATCTACTTAAAGATATTTCTAGAAAATAGACATATCGGCATAACTCTCTTCTATTCTTCGATACATATATATATATATATATATATATATAAT